AAATAAAAATGAACTCGATAACTTTTCTGACCTCGATAAATTGCCATTTACATGAGGATGTGACTAGCAGTTTGAAACGATGTACTTGAATTATTATATATTATCATTATTTCAGTGGTCTAAAATGGTCATACAACGGTGCCGACAATATTATCGTTTATCTTAATCATTTCCGGGAAAATGTATCCAACAAAATTAATTATCGTGAGAGGCCTATAGATGAAACACACACACAAACAAATCTACAGACTTACTCCAAACATATTAATTAACACACTCTCACTCTCATATACTCTTTGACTCTATTTTGGCCTAGTAGAACAATAAGCAGCAGACTTTTACTTTTTTATAATTTCTACTGGATCTTAGATCTGCGCATGCGCAATACGTGTCGGCTCCCACTGCTCTGCTGTCTGTTGACGTTGTTAAGAGTGGTGGGGGCGGGGAGGGAGCGGATCGACAGCTTGAGCAGCTGTCAACTCAACATTGTAAATAACCAACCAAAAACGATCGCAGGTTCATCTTGTTTTTGGCGTGAGAATAGTTTGGGCAGCGTGAGAGCGTGAGACTGAGAGTGAAAGCGTGTGTCACATGCCAGATGCGTGAGAGTTGGCAAACCTGGGGTAGTCAATCGTTTTGTTGACAAGACAGTAGTGACGACCATCTTGGTGACGTGTGTTGTTCTGCGAGACCAGAGATGTAATCAGCCCCCTGCAAAAACAGGGCTGGAAATGGCTAAAATGCAGGATCTTTTTGGTATTTTGAAAAAAACAACTATATTTATATACTTTATATAGGTATGGCCCTACAATATATTGTTCAAATATAGCATGATAGGTGTCCTTTAACCATATATATCGAGCCCGATTCTCGATTTCAAATGTGTGCTCTAAAATGATATTTATAAATGACTATTATCATTATTATAAGCAAGACAATAAATGGCAAAGATATGTAGAAAATAAACGTATTTAAGATACGTTCATAACAAACGTAACGTGGGAGAAAATGTGTTTCTAGAAGATATGTAGAAAATAAATGTATTTAAGATACGTTCATAACAAACGTAACGTGGGAGAAAATACGTTTCTAGCTAAACGTAATTAAGAATGCAGTTTAGTTCTGTGGGAACGTAATTTTTAGGAGACAGGGTTGGACTTTTTTTGTATGAATTTATGTTTCATCCAATCACAGAGCTTGTTGACTTTTCACGAGGTTTGTCAAAGCGGACAGGCGTCCACAACAATAGCTGGGGATTGTGGGTAGTGTAGTCTCTTTGGCGCGCCACATTTCAGAGAAAACAAGTTGTTTCTCAGAATCGAAGGGGAAAAACACAAAAAGCATTGTACACAATTTAAACCTACTGTATCAATGTCATTTGATTAACAAGGATAATCTGGTGTTTTTGAGTTGATGAGTAGTGGAGATATCACTGTCAAATCAATCGACAGTAAGGAGAATACTTACTTCCGGGTGTACAATTCTCCGTTACTAATGGGAATGGACGCTCACATTGCCTTTAAGAGCTGCCGACATCAATGGATGCGGTGCTTCCCTGAGCGTCAAATACCGCCGCCGATGGGAATACATTGCAATCAGTTGAAAGCTCTTTGCGTCCGTTTATGAAGCTGAAGGAGCCTCGGCGCGTCCCAACTGCACGCCACGGGACCCTGACCAAGCTTCGCTCCTGGACGTTTAGGGAGTGAGAGTGTGTTGCTTATTGAGGCTCCCCAGCTCAGTACCAGTGTGCCCTGCTTGAAAGTTAGCATCGTCTTAGACAAGTCGTTCAGAAAAGGGTAGGGGAGGCCTAACGCAGACAAGCAAAATATTACAATACCCATAGGAGAGAAGTGGAGTATTTAGGGGGAGATCTGGTCTGGGTTAGGGCAGGTCTGGGTCCCTATCTAAGACTTCTGAGCACTTTTCATCCAAGCTAGCACCTCGGGGGTCAGGGCCAGTCCAGGTGATTAAGAGGTTAGGACCAGTGAACTATAGGGTTAAGTGGCTGAATGACAAGGGTAAGAAAGATACACCACATGAAAGGGGGGGGATCTGTGACAGATGCCATCACTGTAGAAATGTTCTGCTGTCCCTCTCTCCCCTCGTGCTTTCACTCAGTTAGGTGCTGTTTACACGAGAACGCAAACGGTTGTATCCGCTACATTTCTCTTTCGTATAGCCCGTTCGTTCACACGAGACCATAACGGAAACGCGGAAACGGACCCCGCAAACGATAACGGGTCCCAAGATGGATAGATCTATAAACGGAACGCTCTGGGGGCACAAACGGCTCAGTGTGTACACCCTATTAGATCATTTCCTGATAACGATGAAGCCATAGCCCCACCTATACTCAGTGTTGGGAAAGTTCACTTTCTACATGAACTAGTTCAGTTCACACATTTTAAAATGAACTAGTTCAGTTCATAGTTCATAATTCAAAATTTTGAACTAAAGTTCATGGTTTCAAAAATGAACTAATTTATAGTTTATAGTTATTTTTTCAATACGTTGCTGCGAGCTATTATTTGTCAAAATGATTGCCACAACCCATATAGAACCACAGACAGCAATCAGAATACTGGCATTTCCATAACGCTTTGCTGCCGCCCATTCAGTCCACACTAGTAGCAGCTGCAGCTTTCATCTCTACAGTATATTTTCAAAAACATGAGGAAAAACGTGCTGCTTGAATGGTCTTTATTAAGTATAATAATCTAAATATACTTAAAGTACCAAAAGTGAAAGTAGTCATTGTGCAAACATATAACATATAAACATATGCCGACATAACTCTGTACTAACACAACACGAGGTAGGAACCAGGCTGAGGTATGAAACTAAGGTTACAGGCAAACGTTAGATTTTTTCCGTCTGAGTCAGTACTGACTTTAACGTAAAACTCGTTTAAATGCTCATACGCCGACGCCGTAGAGTCTGACTCTGAGCGAGCGCTGCTGCAGCTGCTCTCGGCTTCGTCCATACTAATTCATTAATTCATTCAATGCTCGCCGGTTCAGCGGTTCCACATTGTTTGTTGTGAGGAGTCTGATGACGTATATTTTAGTGCGACAGCCAGGGGTGACAGGCGCGTATGCGTCACAGGCAGCTTGCTGTTGCCAGATTGGGTGGTTTTCCGCATTATTTTGAAGCCTGTTTACGGTGTGTTTTAACTGGGTTTTCGGCTGAAAGGCATATGAAATCTGGCACACTTTTGAACGCCGTTATAATACAGTGCTGAGAATGAACGCACTTTTGAACGCCGTTATACAGCGCTGAGAATGAACGCGTTCTCAATTACGTTCATAGAGCGGAAATACAGTACGTTCAGTTCACGTTCGCCCAAAATATGAATGCGTTCATGAACGATCGTTCATTGAACGCGTTCAGGTACATCACTGCCTATACTGCTCACTGCTGCAGCATGGTCAGTAGCTACTGTCAGTAGCTACTGCTACTGACCATGCTACAGATGTTAGTGCAAAATCTACAGCTCCTCTACCACAACCATCAGCAACAAGTGGGCATGGAAAATTACATGAACTACATGTTACTAAATCCACAGCAGGGCATAAACAGAAGGGTAACCATGGCAACCATGCTTGGGGGTCTTCTTTGCTGCTTTTGGTGTATTTTGTGGCGGAAGTACAGCGCCACTTACGTATGTACTACAGCGTCTCCAGCAGCTTCTACTGAAGCCAGTCCCCAACTTCCGCCCGGGAACTTCGGGTGGCAGTATACGCCGTGAAGCTGTTCGCGGCCTGCCAGTAAACCCAAAGCAGAAGAAGAAGAAGTGACGTCAGCGGCTTCATTTGCCTAATCCTTCCCCAGGAACTTATTCTGGTGTTCATGAGAACTAAAGAGTTCTCATGAACCTTTGTGGGAAAAGTACTGCGGTGTGAATGCGCTTATCAATCAATCAATGTTTATTTATATAGCCCAATATCACAAATGTTACATTTGTCTCAGTGGTCTTCACAGTTTGTACAGAATATCAGTATGACAATACGACACCCTCTGTCCTTAGACCCTCACATCGTACAAGGAAAAACTGCCAGAGAAAACCCCACAGTTTAAAGGGAAAAATGGGAGAAACCTCAGGGAGAGCAACAGAGGAGGGATCCCTCTCCCAGGACGGACAGACGTGCAATAGATCCCGTGTGTAAATCGAAAAGATAATACATTTACAACATAGGTAGATCAAATGTTTGGAAAGACCAAATATTTGGAAATGCATGTGTCTATAATAAGAAGATGAATCCACAAGGATTTCAGCAATCCTGTGGGAGCCATTAGGGAAGTAGTATGATAAGAGTCAGGCAGGACCACAGAGACAGGTTCAGCCACGACTCGAAGTCTAGGACTCAGATCCAGTACTCAGGATATAGGATCCAGGACACATGACCACAGCAACAGGATCAGCCTCGACTCAGGATCCCGGCGTATATATGGACACAAAAAAGAGATTTGGGGGAAGCTGGGTTAATCGGAACATGAGAGTACATAGGTACAAACAGACAGAAAGACGGAGTAAGGTACCCCCCCAACAGTCCAAGCCTATAGCAGCTAAACTAACGTGTCTACATACATGCACTCCCTTAGGATAGGTTGAGGGAAAAGGGTAGCAAGTAAGAAGTAAGAAGCAGAGGTGGAGAGCAGTGGCGCCTCCAGAAATGTTTCATAGGGGTGGCCAAATGGGGCCACTGAAAATCTTGGGGTGGCCCACCAAAACCAATAATTGAATTGTTGTAAAAGTATAAACTAGATGAAAAAAAAAAAAGAGAACTGATATACTACTACTGATATACTTTGGTTTCTTATTTTACATTTTCTGATACTATTCATTTGAAGTGAATATAATACGGATAGTTAACATTTTACTTCAAACAACATTTAAAAGAACCTTGTTTTGTGTTATGCATACATGTGTTGGTGATTTATTGTTTTGTATATTTTATATATGCTAGTTGTTCTTTCCTTTTTAAAAAGACAAATACAGCTTAATTTAAATAAGTTCCTTTATTGTAAGGCACAAAATGTTCAGCATTCTCAACACATACATACACAACAGCAACACAACATGTTCTTCAGTTATATTATGTTTCTAGGTTATAAATAGTTTTAGACTGAACAAAGCTGTTTGTGTCACACTGGGATCAAAGATGATTGACATTATTATGGGACTTATATGACTTTATTAAATCAAGTTTTATTTCAACAGGACCCAAAAACACAAGGGGTATAAAATGGTAAATACATACTGTGATTGAACACAAAAACACCATCTATTATTGACCTTTATAGCAAATTCAAAACATTATAAATGATACAAAACACCACCTTTTAGTATTAGACAGAAAATAGGTGACGAGACATATTTCTATTTTTTTAGATTAGGCCACTGTGGTGAGAGTAATACTATAGCTTGTATTCCATTTGTTTTGTATATGTATATGTATACTTTATAAACAAACTGGTTACCCTTTTTTAAATTAGCATACAGAACATTATGAAAACAAACTGGACTAATTGTCGGCTCATAACCTCAGAACACAGAAGAGGAAAAACTGCACAGATTCTCGTTTCATTTTGAAGGAGCTGCAGACCTAAAGTGTGTAGAAGACGTAAATGATTACAAAGGTCACAATCACATTAATAAAACTGTACTTAGGTTTTAGTTTCACTTTTACAAAACAGAGTTCCACATGTACTTTCTAGCATGTATGGCCATCTCCTCACTAGCCCTATGCTGCTGCTCCCCTGCCAGCTCTGTCTCTCCTTTACTCATCTTCTTCTTAAAATAAGAAGAGATGTCTGTTGACTTTCTCTTCATTTTCTGCAAATTGACATTACACACAGCAGTGATTAATAGTAGCCTACGCATTACACCAGCCCAGCATACCGACATCAGCTAACGTTAGCTTAGCAAGCTAAACTAAGGCTAACAAGGATAGCCGCCAAAGTGTGTTTACAGACTAATTATACCTGAAGTCAAGCCAGCCTTTACTGAGCCCCGAGCCTGTTTTCCAGGTCTTCCAGCGTTTTTCTCGTTTTAATGCCATTGAACACACATTTTGATCAGAATAACAGCTAAAGGTAAGCATATCTCCGTTTTTTGCTACCTAAAGCTAACACACTGCCTAAAGTGTTGTGGGGCTTAACAGGCAACGAACGTATACGACTTACCTTCTAGAAGTCTGGTGGATTTTTGTCAACTCCAGTCCAGTCAGTAGAAAGCTACTTTTTGCTGCAACCTGCTGCTGTCTGTGCGAATCTCAGAGAGTGGGGTGGGCGAGTATCAGAGTGGTGCGCCGAGTATCAGAGTGGTGCACCGAGTATCATAGAGTGTTACCATGGTAGCAGATGGAGAGGGAGGGGCTGCAGTATGAGCGTTGGAAGCTCAAAGCAAGCGACTCGCTGGCTGTGTATTTATTGTTAAATATCAGATAAACTACTACACAAACGTGACTGGCGAGGCAGTGTGTGGGGTGGGGGGGCCAGTGGGGGGGGGGGGGGGGGGGGGGGGGGGGGGGCACAAACGTGTCTACGTACATGCACTCCCGGATAGGTTGAGGGAAAAGGGTAGCAAGTAAGAAGTAAGAAGCAGAGGTGGAGAGGCACACGCAGGGAAAAGGTCCCCACTGGAACCTTAATTGGAAGTGGTTAGAGGTAAGGAGTAGGTCTGTGACTACGTTCCACACTCCCCGGCTGGGCTAGGCCTTCTCTGCAACCTGTTACCCTCTAATAAACCTCGAGAGGTCAGAGAGGGGAATGGTTTTGGATAAAGTTTTAAATATAAGATCTAAGTTTTTAGGATTTAAATGAAAGAGTAATAACTAAAATGTATAGGTGAAGAGGCACAACGTATCTACGTCAATGCACTCTTATATTATTTAATTGTATCACTATAAGCTTAATCAAAAAGGAAGGTCTTAAGCGTACTCTTAAAAACAGATAGGCTGTCTGCCGCCCGAACACAAACTGGAAGCTGATTCCACAAATGTGGAGCTTGATAAGAAAAGGCTCTGGCTCCCATTGTACTTTTAGAGACTCTAGGAACAACCAACAACCCTGCATTCTTGGAACGCAATGCCGTAGTAGGACAGTAGGGTATAATGAGTTCTTTAAGGTAAGATGGCACCTGCCCATTAAGGGCTTTGTAGGCGAGAAGAACATTTTTTAATTCTATCCTGTGCCTATTGGTTCAAAAGATGACTGCACTATCGACAACAACTCCTGAGTAGCTTAAGGTTAAAATTATGTTACATGCACCGCTAATGGTGGATGGGAACACATGATGCAGCTTAGGGTATTGAATGGTGTAGGAATACATCCTAAACATTTTTACCCACCTTGTCTCGAAGTCAGCGTTTTTGGTTAGATGCCTGAAATAAGATCTGTGGTTAACACAAGCTAAAGAGATGTTCATATTTTGTTCTCTGACATAAATCATGTCAGTAAATACTGCTTCTATGTTTAATAATTATGGTGGTTGCTGAAAAGTGGCTAAATTAAACAACTAAACGCGGCCAACACTCTTGAATCCTCAAAAAGATATCTCTCAATATAGCTTTCAAACTCTGATCAACAACATTCAGAAAACATTTTTTTTATTCAAGGAAGCCCCTGTTTACTAACATCCGGGTCGGCCTACAAAAATATGCATTGTGACTACCCGATTTGCACGGCTAACCGATTTGCACTGCGCAAGCGCAAGTTTTTCCGCCATATTGGACAGCAATGTACGGCAACCCAAATAGGATATTTGACACAGCGGCGTTTCGCAGAGAAGAAAAAAATACCAAAAACCCAGACATTATTCTGAACGAGAGAGATGAGTTATTATTATTACAACATAATTTCCAGATTATTTGAGAATAACTCATTTTAGTGAGTTAACTACATTCTTAGACTAATGGATTTAACTTCCGTTTAACAGCTATCAAATAAGAAAACTGTAAATGTATGCATAATGTTTGGCATTAATAATTAATATATAACAAATTCTTAACTGTGAATGTCTTTCATCTTTTTTAACATTAGAAATGTATTAGTCTGGCCAAACTTTCTCTGTTGAGATTCCTGGAAAAGGAAAGTGAATATTTTTCCATAAACAAGTTAATTCAAGAACAAATCTCTGTTATTAGATCATTATTTTTCTTGCATGACAATTATTGATCAATCTGAAATGTCTTTCCCAGCTTTGGAATTTCTCTGTAAGGGCCAGACAACGATGCACTTTTGATTACGAATATCTAATGTCCTATTTGGGTTGCCGTACGTTGCTGTCCAATATGGCAGACCAACTTGTGCTTGCACAGTGCAAATCGGGTAGTCACACGCATCACTGCAGCACTTTATCTGAAGGAAATCAGCCATTATTGTTCATGGTGGCTGAGGATCATGGGTATTGTAGAACTAAGACCTTTCAGCCATTCCACAGCGATGGACAAAACGTAGTTTCTAAGTTACAAAAGTATTTAAAACTGGTGACAGGTCATGACTCTCCTAAAGGGTTTTTTGTGCTGATAGCAATACACAAAACTGAGGTAGTGGCATCAAAAACATAGGAACAGACAGAAATGTGAATGAAGAATAAACTAGACAGAACAATACTGTATTTGTATGCAAGCTGTTTACTTTCTTCCCCTTTCTGAGAGTTCTTCTGAACAATCAACATTCATTTTGCATCTCCACAGAAACAATCGTAAGCCACCAAACCGTAACTTGCAGTTTATTATCTGTGACACTCAGTCGTAGGCTAACTCTCATAAAGCTGTCAGCTGTAACTCGAAGTGACAAGAAGATGGCAGAGAAAACTGTTTAAATTGGGTGGATGAGCAATGAATCCATGCAGGAAAAAACAACACAAGAACAGCGAGAGAGCGGGTTCCACACTGATGAAAAAAATGAAGAGAGATTGAAAAAGAAAAGATGGAAATAAACTGACACGTTTTTCCACGGTAATGAGGATAGATTAATTCAAAGCCACATGCTGTTGCTAAGGTCCTTAATTAACTGCTTCTTTGTACTGTGTGATGTTATGAGTTTGACAGCATCTCCTTTCTCCTTCGTGTCTGTGACCCTCCTCTTTTCTCTTCTACTGATCTTTCATTAAAGAACACCCATGTGTGCTCTGTCACTTGGAACATCTCAAAATAATATGCAATATTTGAAAAAAGGTGGAAATGTAAATTCTTTACATTGACTTTCCCTTTTCTCTGTTGCATCATAGTGCAATGTGTGTTTTACTTAGATAACATTCCCAGGTCTTTTATAGACTGGTAAGACTCTGTTAACAGGAAAAGGAGAGATAATTAAAATATTAATGCTTTTCATTGTGAAAGGCGGTTATTTAAGACATCATTCTTCATTTTCTTGTAAGGCTGTAAAAGTCTGAGTTATTAACGGGAGTTCCATAATGAACTCTTTTGTTTCCATAAGATTATTCCAATCAATTTCTCGGGACTGATCATTAAAGTTTCATTACGTTTAATTTTCTGAAATTCGCGAATATGAACGGCAAACATTAGAGCAAAATTAACTTTTATTTTTAAAGAGAAATGGCAAACTGAAACATCTTTTTTATTACAGGAATAGTAGGGAACATGCTGTTTTAAAATCTATGAAACGAGGCATTCGTTTTATGATGTAACTGTACATCAGTTACATCATAACACGAATGCCTCGTTTCATATATATATATACACGCATATGTGAGATTTAATGTTGCATTTAGCGGATACAATATAAAGATGTCTTTTGAAGTAGTAAAAAGGTAGCAATAATATCAGATAATAAGTTCCAGATTTATTATGAGGTCTGGTATTGTCGTAAAAAGCCACACACACACCCCAGTTATATACTGTACATCCACTGATGTCTCATTAATCACCTGCTGTAATATAAATTGTGTTATTACAACTATTTGTACCTAATAGATTACAGGAGTGTTATAATGGCTGCATTTTTTGTGGGACTTCCAGCTGCTGACATTTAAAAACAGTGGTGTGGTGTGACAGAATGCCCTCCTCGTGTCATTAGGGCATTGTACAACCCTGTCTCCTTTTAAAACCATTTTCCCATACAACTAAACTGCATTCTCATATCATTGTAACTGTATATACATATATCTATTATACAAAGTATTATTGTAGCGCATTGTCTTTTGCTCTTTAGGGTTTTCACTTTACTGTAGTGTGTAACATATTGTAAAAGCTGTGTGTACATTGAACATACAGGACAAAAACATGGTAATGCACAAACTCTACATTTTTCAGCTCACCCTTTAAATAAAACCAGAATTATGATTTTTATGATGAGCACTTAACTGGTCTATTTTCTATAAAAGTGTTTGATCTCTACTTCTGATTCACATACAAATAACTAAGTGGTTAAAATCTCATGAAGCATTAAACTTAGCAACTGAATTAGATTTATATGTGAAGAAACTAACAGCAAACATTGCCTCACTTGTTGTTCAGTGAAAAACAACAATTTAAAGGAGAGGAATTAACAGTTGACTGTATTATTATCAGAATGAGTAGTTCCTTCTGAAACAAGCTGTTGAACAGGTGAGACATTAAAAGGACTGAGTAGACTTTATTTGGTATGTATTGATGCTTCCATTATGTCTCTGTTACAATGCAGAACTGCTGGGCTAAGCCATTCATCTGTTACTTGATAACTAAAAGTAGCATTACACAAGCAAACTGAATATGAACATTTGATTTGGAGCTATAGAAAATAGAAAAAACGGGGAAAAAAATAAAAGCTACAAGACTGTGTTCATAATATTTTTTTAAAGGAACTACCCATCCCATAAAACCATTGTGAAATGCCTGTTGCCGCTCGAAACATCAATGTAAAATAAAAGCAAATTCAAGGAAGGAGCATAAGCCGTTGTCTCATAATTACATAACTCAAAGTCAGTCTAATGTAGCTCAGCATAAGTTCAATCAGGAAGACAACATCATCGAGTGTCACACGCTATTTCAATAAGTGATCAGGGGCATTACGCCGCGGCTAGCCAATCATTGCACCTGCTAACCTCTTTAAATCTGCTCTCCCCTTCCTGTCAGTTGTCATTTCAGGTGTCAACGCACAAGGTAGTAAACGAATACTCCTCCGCAAACACTCAGAAAAGAAAGAAAAAAAACAAAAACAAAACCACAATGTCTAACACAGACTCTTCCGATAACGAACCGTTTTCGAAGGATCT